TGTGTGTGTGTGTGTGTGTGTGTGTGTGTGTGTGTGTGTGAATTTTGGTCTCTTCCTTGAAACAAAAAGGAGTACACACACGCATTATATTAATGCCACGAAGGTACTGCTTTGGCAAAGCGAAGATTTTTATTGTTGTGAATTGGAAAAATATCGTCGTAAACTGTCAAAACTTTCGAGGAAAAAAGAAAAAAAATCACGTAATGTTACAGAGTTCGATTAACTGCACCAACAGGCGCCTTGTCTCGGTCCCCTTCTTAAAATAGTTTCGGATTTAGACGAATGCAACATTTTGGGCCAACATTACGTACTGCACATAAATACATTTTCTTTTCTTTTCTTTTCTTTTCTTTGTTTGTTTTGTTTTTTTGTTTTGTTTGTTTGTTTTGTTTGTTGGTTTTGTTGTTGTTATTTTTGTTTGTTTGTTTGTTTGTTTTTTGTTGTTGTTGTGGGGTTGTTGTTTTTTTTGGGGGGGGGTTGTTGTCCTGAAAACTCCGTCCGTATTTTGACACACGACAAAGAAGAATAACGTCAACGATATGAACAATCATGTTCGTACAATTGAATTATGTCGGTGAACAAACAGGGTTCAACCTTCCTAAACCAAAGGCGTATTCAACACAAAACAAAACAAAAAAAGATCCGCTCAGACCGGATCACGATATCAAATGACGTTTTTCGTTTTTGGAGCGAGCTTGGCAGGCGCCAGAGCCTGTTCAAAGTCTGTGACTGACCACAATAGGGAAAATCTTTGGCCAACTGATGACGTCAACAATGTACACATTCAACATTCCAAATCCGTAGACAAATAACGCCGTCACGTGACTTTCAGTTTCGTTTAGTTTTTTATAAGATTTACGGCACTTGCATTACAGACAGGTCATACAAGTGCCGAAGTTTTAAAATGTTTCTAAACAGTAACATTCACAGAAGAGAAGGAAGAGAGATAAGGATGATAGATGTTTGATAGGAAAGAGGGAGCAAACCACACCAGAGCCCCCGCCAACCGCATACATGTGACTTTTAAGAGCAATACAATGTACACAACTCATGGGGCGGACCATACATACAAAACACCGACCAACTACTTTTCTGAACGATCATCGTGTGTGCGGAACCAAAATATTATTTCCAAACATTAGCAAAAGTACAAAAGAATGAAGGAAAACAAATTTTAAACGGTAAATGATGCAGAGACTTGGGTTATTCGTCCACCAGATGGCCTCAGAAAAGGTCAACATCGCAACTGCTCGCCATTACGCGGCACATTATAGAGGTATCATTATGACTTGTACCCAAGCTCCAAAACCTCGGTAACTGACACTCCGCACGTGTCCCTGTGAATCATGAAATGATTGTGGGCACATTGAGGGGCTTTTTAATATCTGCCAGTGCGTGTGAGCGTGAGTGCATGCTTGTTGTGTGTGTGTGTGTGCGCGCGCGTGCGCGCTCGCGTGCGGGAGGGAGGGGGGGTATAGATAGAAGCTGAAGAGATTTTTAAAAATATACGTGTGGGTGGGTGTGTGGGGAGGGAGGTAGTGCTGGTTATGTCCATAAATTTATGACCGACATATCACACAGAGAACAAGAAGAAGCCGAGAACAGCGGTGTCGACCAGTATAATTATAATCGGGCATGCTGAAACTCCCAATAAAATAACCATACAAAGTTTTTCAGCTAAAACATGCTTTGTAGGAAAAGGGCCCCTTATATTACGGTATCCTGGGAGTGATTCTGTAGTGTCGAATTCTTTCCAAGCGTTCCCACGCAGTTCTCAAAGACTGTGCTCGGGCTGGTTAAGCTCCGCTCTTCGGCTTCGGCACAAGGACAAGGCCTGCCGCTCTAATGATATGGACAAATCTCGGAATATAATCTTCCTACCGCACAAAGGGGGCTCCTCCAAACTAGGGTACGCCCAGTGTGGGGGTGCGAGGAAAGGACAAAAAATGCGTCCGTGCGAATGTGTGTGTATGTGAGAGA